AGGGATGTAACAAAAAAATTATAAAAAAAAAAACACGTAAACCCGCAAACGAAACATCAAAATAGAGTAACTTAATGTATTTAACTTGCCCAGAGATGGTGTTTTTTTTTTTTAAAAACCACTGAAAATCACTTTAAATAGTCTGAATACACGGCATATTTTTTTTCATACAAAAAACGGCGAACGACGAACTTCCACAGACAACAGTATAAATATTTCATATGGCAGTTGACTTAATCAATGGCTAGATAGCTAGCCTGTTCTACAAATTGATATAAGAATGTAGGTGATAGCAATAAGAAGGAATATTTTAATTGCCACTGATTACGTAGAGTCGCGCGATGCCGAATGTCGGCATGTCATCAATTTACGGATTATTGACAGATGCCGAAAGTAGTGATGTAATCAACTGAGAGGAAGGAGTCCATTAATTTTATCAATCACATATGAAGTTATTAAAAGAGAGAAGGAGGATCCCAAACAACGATTAACAAATTTAGAGAAACAGAAGACAGATTTAACAGGAACAGTCGATGAACTTAAAGCACAAATGAATCAAATAGAGCAGCAAGCACATCAGAATAATATCGAGCTTCAATGCGTACCTGAACAAAAAAATGAAAACCTAATAACTATTTCCCCCGAGCTTGGGCGAGCAATCGGTTGCGATCTTAAGGATGATGATATTCTTAATTACACTCGTACAGCTCAACTTAATCGCAGCTCCCCTCGTCCGCGCTTAATAATTGTGCAGCTGTTATGACTAAGATTACGCTAAAAACAAAGTTGATAGCTGACTATTGGGTATCACTGGAAATAGTGTTCCAAATTTGTGACTGAACATTTACCGCTCACCAACAAAGCTATCCACGTAGGAGCCGGACTTAAGGCCAAGGAGCTTGGATACAAATTGTTCTAGATTCAGAATTGCAGAATCTGAATAAGTGCTTGTAAGAAATATGAATACTCTTAAAAAACTCGTATAATTTTTAGTCGTTCGTTTAATTAAGTTTAAGATTTAGGTTCTAGTTTTATAGATTTTATATAGGTAGGATGGGTTGGGTGTTACAAAAAAAAAATACTGGAATACAATGACAAAAATATTGTTTTAATCAGCTAGTTTTTGGTTAATAAACTTTAACAATATGTCTTTAATTAAATCAGTCGATTGTTATACTGAGCTCCGTATCTGGGGTAGTCTGTTACAGGGTAAGGGGCACACTGTTACAACATAAAAATAATAGGAAATTAACAAAATAAGAAAAAGGATTTAATTTCTAATAAATAATTACTTTCTTTAAATTATTTTTTAGGAAAGTATACACATCAGTCTGACGTTTGGTCTTTCTTTCTGCAATCTTTGCAATGTCATAAAATTTACGTGCTTTTCATTTACTGCCTATCGAAGACTAACACCACTTTCAACCATCAAAATCGCTTCTGCCTTATATTTTTCACTGTGAAGACCATAATCCGTCTTCCTTTTACGATTTCGCACCAGTTTCTTTTAATACCTTGAAATAGTACAGTGTCACATAGTGCTTCGTAACACAGTGCCCCAGAGAGGCAAACCAAATTGAAAATTCAAATGAATATTTTAGGTTATTTTTACAATAAATAATTCAACGGTAATATGAAGCTAAATAAACATTAAAGTAAAGAAAATTATCAATATTTACCTCAATATAAACCGTCCAGAAAAAAATGAAAACTTTGGAACGGTTTTTTCGACGTTTAATCACAGAAAAACATTTTTTGTTTGTTAATTTTCAAGCGCGGTACAAAATGAGGCAGAAGCAACGGTTCAAAGATGGCGGCTTGTGAGCTTGACATACGTGTATACCAACATCATAAAACTAATAAAAAGGGACGGAGAAATGTGCATTGTAACATTGTACTCCGTGTTACACTGTGCCTCGCCTAACCCTACTAAACTAAACAAAACAAAATATGTTAAGTTAGTTAGTTATTCGCGGTTTCAGAACAAAAGTACGAAAATTCCATTGTAGGCGATTTTCCTACTTTTACTTTTATTTATATTCATTTAATAATATTTTACATTAATATTTATTTATATAATTTTATATCTATACTTAAACAATATTTACATTATAATATATCTGTGCGTCCTGTGAAAACTGATACATCTCGAAAATGTCAATTTTAGAGTAGAGTAGTTTTTGTGTTTAAAAAATTATATTTGTTTTTGTAATAGTCATTTTACGAAAATAGTTATACAGTTTGTAATAGTTTTGTACTACCTACAGACTGTTAAGTTCCTGATCAAAGACAATAAAAGTTTAAACAGATATTTAAAAAAAACTATTTATTATATCAAAACACACGATATGAATTGTCGTGTATAATGATTGTAAATGACTTATATCATTTTACACTTCATGTGAAGATTTGGTGAAAGGTGATATTTTTGTATTGTAAGCTAGTTTTATACAAAACTATATTATTCCTGCTTAGGGGTGTCAAACAAAAAAGTAATATTATTCAGTCGACTGCCCGACTGTAAGTGCAAAACTGGTAAAATTTGTGTTTTTGTTACTTGTATCATTTTACACAAGAATAACGGTAACTGAACTCTGTGTCTTTTAGTATAAGTTGACTTATATCTCAATTAAAATTGTGTAATATGATACAAAAAATGCTTGAAGTCATAAAAGAAGAAATAAAACAATAGTAACGAAGAATATTTTGATTCACGTTTATTTTTTTATAGTAATACAAAAAATATACTTAATCAAAAGTCGAATTATTATTTTTTTACTTCAAATCTACTTAAATTTTGAAGTTGTAATGTTAACATTCAACATAAAAAAAAGAAATCATCCAATGACATACATCAACAAAGTTCGGTTAACATAAAATACACACATCAAAAGTGTCTAGGGATCAACATATATTTTTGCAATAACTTTTCTCCTGATTGATATTAATTAAAATTTTCTTTAAGGATTCATCAAATAAAGTGTTTTCGTTTGTCACAGTAACGATAAACCAAGTCACCTTTGCATTAATAAAGAAATTTGCCATTTTCCTAATAAAGGGATTTTTGACATTTGAACCACTAACACAAAAGTTCGAAAAAAAGACTGAAATAACAGTTTTCTCTAAAATTTTATTGGGTAACTTAAACAATTAATAATCCGTATTTCTACCGCGAACACTAACAACACAAGAACATCGGTTTGGCATACTCAAAATGAGTTCATCCAAATCACGCTGTGGAATGGCCGCCCATGTTCGTTGCAACAACAAAAAAAGGTCTTCTTGCGACTGGATACCCTCCATATTCGGCAGAGCTCTTCTCTGTAGCATATCCCATGCATGCTCAATCGGGTTCAAGTCTGGCGACTGAGCAGGCCAGGGCAGGACATTGATGTTAGCTGCGGCGAGAGTCTGTCTTACAACTCTTGCGGTGTGCGGTCGTGCATTATCATGCATTAACTGAAATAAGGGACCGATTTGCACTTGTAGAGGAACGATGACGTCTGATACAATCGTCTCAGCATAAATTTGAGCGTTGAGGTTGCCTCTGATCCAAATCAACTCAGTTCTTCCGCCGATCCAAATACCCGCCCATACCATGATGGTTCCACCACTATAAGGATGGACTTCCTGGCAGGATTTTAATCGCTGTTGGCGTCCAGGGGTTCTCCAGTGTCGTATACGTCTTGTATCCGGTCTCATACCAAAACGAGACTCATCAGAAAAGCACACGAAACGCCATTGTTCTTCTGCCCAATTTCTGTGTTCAAGAGCCCATTGATATCGAATCCTACGATTGTGCATTGCTATAGGTGGTACCCGTAGCGGTCTTCGGGAATGAAGGTTCACTTCATGCAAGCGGTTTCTGACTGTTTGGTCGCTAATTAAGTTCCCTGAAGAGTGATGAAGCCTCACGGCTAACATCATGGCGGTTATTGTTGGAGCTCTTCGAGTTAAGATTTGAATGTATCGGTCTTGTCTCCGTGTGGTGCAGCGATACCGTCCTCCATGGCGCTCAGCCACGGTACCAGTGCTTCGGTATCGTGTCCAAAGTCGACTGATAACACTCTGACTTGTATTCAGAGCTAAAGCCACAGTACGTTGCCGGGAACCAGCTTCTATCATTCCCACGGCTCTGAGCATTTCTTCCCTGCTTAAATGACGTCGCCGCTCCATAATAACGTTGGTTTTAATCAGTAGTAGGGAAACAGTAGCACTAATAATGTCTTCAATGCGTTGTATGTTTTTATAGGGAAAATATTGACAGCTGATTTTCATCTTTTACTCGAATTTGATTCACAGTTCCTGATTCAAATTATGAAATGCACCAAAAAGGATCCATATAAATTTATAAAATCATAAATTTATTACAAAGCCACATCTCAATCTCAAGAAATCCGCATAAAAATGCTTGATCCCTAGACACTTTTGATGTGTGTAGTTTTGCAAACAGAATATTTGAAGGGAATTCTAATTCTCAGTTTTATTGGTATTCAAAAGATACTTATAAAAAATAAAATCAAACAAACTTAAACTTTTTATCAAACTCAACCCTAATCAATATTAAACTTTAGAGTTATAGAGAATCAAAATTATCACTTTTTAGCACATGACTGCTTAAAATAACATTTATAAAATGTTTGAACTCAAAATTGTATATAACTTCCATATCAAAATCAACACAATTCAATATATTTTTATAAAAAACAACAACTTATTTCTATATTCTAATGAAATATTATCAGTCTTCATCACTAGAGATCAAATCAGGATCAATATTTCTTACATCAGCCTTTGTTTTTAAATTCATATAATAATCATGATAACTACTATCAATGTATGGCAATAATGAAATTAAATCAGTCTTCTTCTCATTTGAAATGAAATTTACTCCCGTGCAGGTTAGTAAATTATTGGCAACTACTTCTTGTTCATAACGCCTACCCCTTTTTGCAAGGGAGATCATATTAAGGTCATCAGATTGCAAATCTGTTTTATTCCTAGGCATGGAAACAAATCAAATCAATCAAGGCAAATCGTAGAAGTTTAACATCAGCCCAAACGAATTTCACGTTGTTTTCATTCCATTTTTTCATTATAAAATTTTGTTTCAAGAACTCACTAAAATCGTAAAAATTTGATTCAGCCATCTCTACAACAGTAAATTTACCAGGTCTTCCTGCTGATCGTATTAATTGTGCCCAATCTCGAGGATGATGAATATTCAAAGACGTTCTTTTTTTAGTCCTTTCTATTAGTGAATGGTCACTATCTACTTCCATTCTGGTATGGCCAGGTGTTAAAAATTTGTGCTCTATGGAAACGATATATGGCAAATCGTGGGCAGCTACAAGCATCATTGTCGCCATTATAGAATTTTTATTTTGTCCGGCACATGTGTCGGAGTAAAAAATAATTTTTGAAACGTTGGGCCATTGATTAGGGACACGATATTTTAAAAAGTCATAAACACATGAAGCTATTTGGTTTGCTCCTCGCCCAGAAATACTTTCATTCCAAATATAGCAATGAGCTTTATTACCTACACAATCATGTATTGTAAGATTGTACGTCCAAAGTTGACGTTTGTAAAATACCATTCCCGTCTTAAGATAAGGAGTGGGCAAGCATTGTTGCAAATCGAATGTCAAAACAAGGGTATCATTTGATTCTTTTGCATGATTTTTATCTTTCTCTTTCAGATCATAAGCGAAAGTCGCGCTATTTTGGTGTTCTTGCAAGTGGGATTTTATTTCAGCCTTAACTTCTTCAGACGTTGCAGTTTCCAACTGCTTGTTCAGTCTATCACATTTCTGGCATGTGTCTACCGAAGGCTGTTTGAATGATAAATTTAAAGTCTTGAACACGTGATTGTACATTGTTTTGCTTATGGGTTCAGTTGTAGTTTCCTTATATGAATCATACATTTTAGCCAACGATAAATCAGAGCTCAAAAAAGTTTTGCTGGTTTTGCTTCGCCCGTAGTGACTTTCGTACGCTGGAAATTTCAAAATATGTTGTCTTGCGAATTCTAAGCGATCGTCATGAATTTTTTTGCAACTTGCTGCACGACCCCTTTCACTTGATATTATGTTTCCACATTTAATTTTCTTCTCACAAATAGTTTGAACAAACCTGTTGCTTTCATCAAAAGTTGTTAAAAAACATTTTTTGCATATATTATAGACACTGTTATCAAATTTTATTACATATTTATTAGCATACTCTCTATTTTTTTTTGGATCAATTTTAGAAACTTTCTTTTTGCCAATAATTATAAAATTACTAATGTAATTCGCTCTTTTTTCATATGAACCTAGATTCCAGTATTCTGTAAAAACATTTTCCAATATCTGCTTCGGTATATTTTCCTGACATTTCGCTCTACATTCCGGTAACTCTTTTAATTCTTTTCGCTTCTTTAACTTTCCAGTCTTTGTTAAATATTCTTGCCCTTGGTTTCTGGATATATTTCGTGCAATTCTTTCGTTTCTTCGTTCTTTTTTAGCATCTCTTATTTTCCCTTTACGGCCGTCTCTAGTTACAGATTTGTCATCCCAAAATGAACAAGAGGGTACCACATCATTGCAATGATTTGGTTCTTCAGTTACGTTGTTTAACTCTCCAATAACATTTTCTTCACTTCGCGATTACTTGCTTCAACGGAATAACATGAGTTAGTCAGTGATAAATCATTGCATAGGTTTGGCACTCCAGGAAAATTATTTTGATCACTATTCTCTGAAACAATCGGTGGTATACCATTGCACAGATTAGGTTCTTCCGGCAAGTTATTAAGATCACAATTTTGCGAAACAGTCTGTGGTATATCATTGCATAGATTAGGTTGTTCAGGCAAGATATTTTGGTAATTATTATTTTCAGCCAATGTATCGCAATTTTTACTATCTTTGCTACAGGCACTAGTGCATGAACTATCAGAAGTTGAAATTCGTCTAGGTAGTTTTCTTTTTGATGCCAAATTAGATCTTATCGTAGAATCATAAGAATCATCACTGCTATATCCATCGGAACCAGGTATATATTCATCACTACTTGAAGGATCGAAATCGCCATCAGGAGATGAACTCTTATGGCCGTCGCATATTTCTTCGTGTAACAAGTTATTTTGAGAAGAACTTTGTTCTGATAATGAATTTTTGCTATTCCAAATTTTGTCGTTAGGATTATTATTTAGACAGAGAGCAGAATTTTTTTTTTCATCAACGCAAAGATCTTCTTTTTCATCTTCTTTATTATTATTTATATTTAACATATCTAACATGCGTTTTGCACGGCAAGGACGTCGCTGCAACAATGATATTTTATATTATAGACTATCACAAAACATAATTATAAAGGTACGCTAAACAAAAAGTCACCGCTTTTTAATTTTAAAACAAATAATATCGAAAACAAATTTGGTGCATATTGATATTACTGGAGTAATTATTTTATGGAAACTGATATTAGTCCATGTCATTATAAATCCAAGAAAAAACCTAAAACTTTGTGTAAAATGATACATCTAATTCGTACGTTGTGCGCCATGTTGGATTGCTGCAACAGCGCGCGCGGGTTCCCCGTCCTGTAGTCTGAACGGCACTGACCCCTCGCGGATGGCGGCACCCCCGCCGTATCGTCCCCGGCGCCCCGCAAAACCCCCGCATTCAGAAGATGTATCACTTTGCACGTATTTTGGATCAAAAAGATTATAATTTTCTCGTGATTATTGATACAGCTCTATTTGTATCACTTTACACAAAAAATATTTGTTTTCTTGGTATGTGAGAAAAAATACAACTCTTTTTGTACCAAAGCAGTGTGCTAATTAACTTTGTGACAATTGATATAGCTAAACATGTATCAGATGACACCAGTTTAGATTATAATAAATATTATGTGGATAATGATTTGTCATGAGATGCATCTTTATACATAAAATTTTATGTCATCACTTGATTATTGTGAGCGATATATGTCAACATGTATTTATTTACACAAAAGTATTTATCAAAACGCACCAATCCGTCTTAGATGTACCATACAATCTCGGAAACTAATAGACGTAATAAAATGTCAGTTATACAGAAAAATAGAGTTTTTTTTTGTGATGAAAGTGCAAGAAGAATATCAAATTCGATATAAGTTGACTTGTACCACTTTTCACAGGACGCACAGATATATTTACAAGTACACTTTATTATATATCCATATTAATATTTACACGTTCATTTTGCTCCGCGCTCCCTCGCTTGTGAACTTCGCTAAGCTTATATTTATTGTTGTTATTTGTGTACGCTTTTTCTATCTCTTCCGAACTTTCTTCCTTGTGCTTTGGACTATATGTGCTTACTCCTTCTGTACTTTCCTTGTGTGTGCTTGTGGAATAAACTGTGTTATTCTGTGATTGAGTGTTGGACTTATTTCTCGCCGCCTCCCTACTGGATCACAGATAAGTGTAACATAGACATTGATTGCGGCCGATATTAGTTGTACTGGCCAAACAAGTTTTACCACTAACATAACTAAACCATAAAGAGTTATTATGTAATGAATACTTATGATAGAATTCTATTATAGTTTTGACATAAACATGGCTAAATTCTTCTGTTTCAAGCAGTGAACTCTTTGATCAATGATACGTTATCTATCGAAGGGGTAGATGTCCTCCATTAAAAAGGACGGTAGCGGAGTTTTGGTCGCAGTTTCTAAAACATATAATTTTAAAACGTATGTATAGCTGGAAGTCGGACATGGAAGATCTGTGAGTGGTAATCGAATCCCCAGCATCTCATACCGTTCGTCAAATTGCTTTATGTGCGGTGTATTTACCACCACCAGTCAGTCGTACTCTGTTGGACCGTTTCATAAAACATAGCAATTCTGTTTTGGAAAAATCAACATACCATTGTATATTGGGTGATTTTAATCTGGGAGTACTAGACTGGAGCTTGTTTGGTGATTATGGTGAACATGTATTGAACTTTTGTATGAAAAGGGGTTAAAACAACACAATACCATACCAAATAAATCTTACAGGATTCTCGACTTGATACTGATCATTTGTTAACTTGTAATGTAAATAAATCTCTTAATACGTTTAGCATTATTGATCAGTTACATCCGCCCCTCGATGTTGATATTTCTTTTATTACTGACCCAAAACTTCCTTATAATGGAGAAACCGTTAAATATATTTTTTTATGAGCAGATTACAAAAAAAAACCACAAGGAGCTACGGGATCTCAAGTGGGAACAATTATATAAAGGAGTCGACAACGTGAATGATATGCTACAGTTATTTTACCAGATTATTAATGACATTATCAAAAAAATTGTTCCGAGACAAAAGATAAAGAAAAATAAATATCCACCCTGGTTCAGCCATAACTTGAAAAGATGCCTCAACGAAAATTACAAAGTCCGTTGTCGTTACAAAAAATACAAAAATCCCATGGATGAAATTGAGTTACGTGTATACTCATGGAACCCTAAACTTTTTGGTCTTCTATTAAGGCCAGGCGTGGTGGAGTATGTTCGTACCCCACTTTAATGATGATGGGATCAGTAGTCACTTTGGAGGGAAGAAAAATTTGTGAATTGTTTTCCTCCCATTTTGCGTCTGTTTATAGTGATGATAGCTGAAGAATATATTCTACCTAGTTGTCTGAAACATCGAGGGTACTATAAGTAATCATTATTTAAAGTTGCCAGCAATAGACTCTAAAACTCTTCTTGACAATCTGAAAAATCGAGATGAACATAAGGGGGCTGGTCCCGATTCAATCCCTCCAAAATTTATTGTTAATTGTGCAGAGTATTTAGTAAGACCTCTCTTAATCATATTTAATACATCTCTCGCCACAGGTGTTTTTCCATTTAAGTGGAAAGAAGCCAAAATTGTGCTTATCTATAAATCAGGCGGAGAGGATTTCATTTGGAATCATAGGCCTATGATTCGAAATTAAATCCTCTCTGCCTTATCTTTAATATAATATAAATATCTTTATCTTATCGACGATCGGAAAAGTGCTCGAATCTTTCACATGTCCGTATATACAGCGTCATTTCAAACAGTCACCTAGCAGGTAGCTACAAGGCTTGGTTCAATTTAGGTCAACTACACTAACTTGATAGACGCCACTGAAAGTTTGATAGAAGCACTTGGTGTTGGTGCTCAAAAGCAAATGGACGTTGTGTATACAGATTTCAGTAACCTTATGATGGGGTGCGTCATGACATCCTATTAGAGAAGTTGTCAGCGTATGGCATATCTGGCTCGTTATTGAAATGGTTAAAATCTTACTTGGAGAGTCGCTCTTTTTTTGTAGTTATGGATGGGTATGAATCTGTGTCGGGAATAATCACATCTGATTGTTTCACTAGAGTGCATAGTTAATCTTGTAAATAGTTTTAAGTAATGTGTAAACAAACACTGGTAAACCATATAACAAATAAAAAAAACTGGGGTGCACCAGCGCTCGCATCTGGGTCCATTTCTGTTTGACATCTTTGTAAACGATCTACCTAACATCATAAAATTTTCCAAACTACATATTTGCGGATGACCTCAAATAAGGAAAAGAAATCGATACAGTTCAGGATTCTCACATGCTTTAGTCTGATCTGTTACGCACGAACATGACGCACTTGTTAGGTGGTACGCACGAAATGGAATGAACCTCAATTCTGAAAACGCTATTACTTGTGTTACGGGCGAAACAGACGTTTGGTCACATATCAATATCAATATCGTATTGGCTCAATCGAAATCAGAAAATTGGACCGTTTCCGTGACTTAGGTGTGATATTTGACAAAAAACTTAATTTCGTGCCTCATAGAAAGAATATCAAAAATCGTGTATCGAGGCAGTGGTGTTTGAACTTAGAAATGCTAGAGGTTTATGTAGTTTTAGGACTAAAATACTCTTGTTCAACGTTTTAGTCTAGTTTATATAAGTTTGTCACAAAACAGTACCTAAAAATATTGGATTTATAAATAATTATTTCTAAAATTCACACCAGTTAGTCTAGCCCCAAAGTCAGCACTATAATAAATACTCATCAAAAGAGTCTAAGCAACCTGTTGTACGGTTTTGAATTTTTGATTTGTATTGTTGTATGCGCTAGCATCACTACATACCAAGTCGGAGATTATTTGTAACTAGTGGGCCGCCTTCGCTTAGCGTCAGTGTTGAGCTGTAGTGTAGACTATAGTTTTTTTTTTTTTTTTTTTTTATATGGTTCGACACGATTTGTGCATTGCCAGTGTAGGTAGGGAAACATTAGTAGGAAATTGATGCATGTTGGATCGGAAATTTAGAGGATAGGATCAGGAGACAGAATTTGTATATTTATATAAATATACATACATAAAATACGGATAAAGAGATGATTACACTCTAATATTATTTAACATTATGAAAGATGCTATACATTTATAAATCTGTAAATTATTAGAGAAGAGTAGGGTTATTACGGATGTTGGAAAAGGAACATCTAAAGAAATGAGGCCATTTAAAAAAGAATATCGACTGTATAGAGGGCAGGAAAACAGGATGTGGTTAAGATCCCCTGTGTCCATTCCGCACCCGCAAGTAGGATCGCTGACAATTCCAAGATTAGAGAGATGTGCTGGTGTAGTAACATGTCCAAGTCTCATGCGCGTTAATATGCTAGTAGCAGTCTTACCATGTTTAGCTTTACGAAACCATGGCTTTAAAGGGATAGTAGGCTGTATCGTAAAATAGTATGTTCCTTTTATTTGTGCACTACTTGCCCAACTTTTAAGCCATTAACTTCGCAAATCGCACAATGGTAGAGATAGCAAGTCATGGCTATTACATTTATAAGGAACCACGTCACCACAATGCACTGCCTCTTTGGCTAACTGGTCGGAATTTTCATTTCCTTGAATTCCACTGTGACTCGGGAGCCATGCAAACACTACCATGTATCCCATTTTCATGAATTTATTTAGAAAATTCCTTATCTCAAATATTACAGGAAAATATGATTTAGTACGGAAAGGGAATTTATTTAGGGCTTGAAGAGCACTCATTGAATCGCAAAATATGACAGTTTTTCGGAGTTTCATAACAAAAATATATTCAACAGCCTTTAATAAACCAATACATTCTCCGGTAAAAACAGATGTCTCCGGAGGAAGTTTAGTTTTTTGAACAATAGAAAACTGAGAGTGGAATACTCCTACACCTGTACACTCAGACGGAGAGGACTTAGAAGCATCAGTGAATATATGATGAAAGTCGCCATATTCAGTATCTATAATTGATTTGGAGGTTATAGTTGGGTGTGCATTGTTTTTATCAATTAAATCATATTGAATAGTTGGTGCTATTTCTAAGGCATCATAATCAATAGTAAAAATGGGAAGATGGTTTGTTCGGTGTATACGTGATTGTATACTTATATACTTTCGATAACTAACTATCAAACATGGGTGAGATTTATGTGCCCAGTAACTTGCTGATGTTATTTCTTCATTCAAAGAACAAAATAGATTTAAAAGAGGATGTTTGGAAAATTGAAGTAAACGGAATAGATATCTGTTAGCAAGAAGTTGACGTCTAATATTAAGTGGGGGTTCACAAGTTTCAATTTGCAATGCATTTATTGGGCTGGATCTCATAGCACCAGTTATTATTCTTAACGCTTTCGACTGAATGTTATCTAGCTTTATCAGTGCAGTAGAAATGGCAGGTTCTAGGAGAAAACTTCCGTAGTCCAGTACACTTCGGATTAATGCATTATACACTAGTTTTAAGGATTGCGAATGGGCCCCCCACCAAACTCCTGAAAGACATCGGAGAAGATTTAAAAGTCGTTCAGTTTTACTTATAATAAAATCACAATGTGCACTTCCGGTAAGTTTGGAATCCAAAATGACTCCCAGAAATTTTACTTGGGGTTCAATGGGAATTAATATATTATTATAATAAATTTTAACGGGAGGGGGGTTCTTCTTTCGTGAGAATATTACGATAGTACTTTTTGAAGCAGATAATTCTAGACCGTTATCGTTCATCCAAGAACTCAAGGAACGCAAAGCTGAGTTAATATGCAAAGTTGAATTATCTATGTGACGGTTTGTAGAATAAATCAATAAATCATCAGCGTATTGCAACAACTTAATATTATTTTCAAATAAAGTGTCAAAATCGTGATTATATACACTGTAAAGTAAAGGACTAAGAACTGATCCCTGGGGCAAGCCTCTCCATACAGTTCTTTGTATTTCAAGACTATTCGGTAAGCTAATTATTAATTTTCGTTCGGCTAGTATGTTCATAATAAAATTTGTTAACATTTGAGGAACCTCTAGTATCTCTAGTTTACTTTGATCATATGCAGAATTTAAATCCAAAAATGCTGCTACTACGGATTCGTTATATGTGAAAGCCAGACGAATGTCGGTTGATAAAATACTTAAATTGTCCATAGTACTTTTCCCCTTTCTGAATCCGTATTGTGTTTTGGATAGCATACCTCTGCTTTCTTAATACCATTCAAGGCGTTTTTTTATTAAAATTTCAGCTAGCTTTATTAAAACAGTTGCCAAAACTATTGGACGGTATGAAGATGCATGTGATGGTGGTTTATTAGGTTTGAGTATGGGCAACACTATTTGTGACTTCCATGACAGAGGTATGTCACCTGTTAACATGATAGTGTTGATAAGTTGCAAGTAATAGGATAAGATGTTATCATTAACATTTGCAAAAAACGAATACGGAATTCCGTCTACCCCAAGGGCAGAATCTTTATAGTCGGAAACAGCACTCTGAAGTTCTTGAAGGGAGAAAGGACGATTTAAGGATATACTGTACTTCCAAGGCCCAAAAGTAAAAACTTCACAGTTTTGTTGGTTGTGATTTCGCATTTTTGTTGTTAAAAAGGTTTCTGTTAACCACATTATTAAAAAAAATGTCACATTTATGCACTGGTAGTTTTTTAGAAAAAAATATTGAAAATTTTTACTTTTCTTATCAAGTGGTGATACTTTACACTGGTTAGGTTAGGTTAGTGTTGTGACCATAACGCGCGAGCCGAGCGAGCAAAGCGAGCGTGCCGCGGCAGCGGCCGGCGAAACGCCAGAAAAAAAAATCTGTTAAAAAGACCTTTTCTACAAAAAAAAATAAGTATCACCTTTTGGGCCCTGGAAGTACAGTTTTACCCGTTTTTAATCCAGAGCTATTACTATATAACGATTTCAAAACCTGTGAAGTATTGAGCATGGGAATGGGAGCCCACGGTGGGGCCAATTTATCCATAAAATCGTTAACTAATGCAGGAGGCATAGTGACAGGAGAGGAAGTATTTAAATCGCGGATTTAAATCTTTTTATGTTACGCCAGACCAGGATAGGGGGCGTGTCTGGTGAAATAGAACTGCAGAAGTTTCTCCAGCTTTCGATTTTATTTCTTTTTAAATATTTTTTTAGTTTCAGCAACTACTTTACTTAAGTTATCATAATTAAATTCTGTCATATTAGTATTACATACATACACACATGATTACTGCCTGTTTTCTCTTCCTCACAGCCTCCGAGCAATCCTTGTCCCACCAAGGAGGAGATGGTATTTTCATGTGAGTAATATTTTAATAGAAAACAATTCTATGGCAGCTTCATTTAAAATCCTAGCTAATGCCTCTGCACAACTGTTTTCATTTCCGGACGTGATAATAGGGAGAGATGATAATTTATTTTCAACAGAAGATTTGTACTTATTCCAGTCTATAGATTTTTTATCTGGCAAATTATGTCTTCTTGTGGTTTTCCATCTAAAGTTATTAGGCGTTTTAAAGGGTAAAGATATAACAATAGGAAAATGGTCACTTCCATGCAGAAGGAGGAGTATGCCAAGATAAGGAAGAAGCTAGATTTGTGGTACAGATTGATAAGTCCACAGCACTTGCATTAAGGTTAGGACTGGTGAGACGAGTGGGGGATCCTGTATTCAAAAAGCATAAGTTATGTGATTCCATAATATCTAACAATTTTTCACCATAATTGTTAGTAACTGAACATCCCCACGCTTGATGGTGACAGTTAAAATCTCCTAGTACTAGAAAGGGTTTAGGGAGAGGTGAAAACATGTTATTTATTTCATTAAAAATTGGAGATGATGGGCGAGATAAATAAATAGATACTAAACACATGTTGTGAACTTTCACTGCAATCATTGAAATTTCTTCACTATGTGTTATTAAGGTAATGGGTTCATAAATAACACCATTTTTAATTAGAATGGCTACTCCACCATAGCCATCCATTCTATCTTCTCTGATAGTATGATATCCATTAATTTTAAAATTTCTTTGAGTTATTAGCCATGTTTCAGACAAGGCTAAAACAGAAGGCTCAAATTTATTTATTAAATGAATAATTTCATTTTTTTTACTTATAGCACTACGGCAGTTCCACTGTATTATCTTGTCTGTTTGTCTGTCCATTATTGAATTGAATGTTATTTCTAGTAATCTGAGCAACGTTGGACGGTGGAAGGATATTGAATTGAGTAAACACATTGAAAAGAGCTGTTATAAAATCAGGAGGGAGTTGACTCGTTGAGGATGTACTGTCATCACTTGTAATTAGACCACAGCTATTGTTAGGGGTAGGAATTGCAAATTCCTTCAATATAGTTTTATGGGCTATGGTATCATAGCCTTTTGAAAAAACAGGAGTATTACGCGGTTTCTTAAAAATAGTTTTATAAGATGTTGTGTGGTTTATGTTAGTATTAGTAATATTACTATTCACAGATTCATTCACTATTTTTGTAGAAGGGGTCATTAAAGTATCAGGATAGGACCTAGATATGGGTGGAAGTAATTTTGATGCTTCTGCATATGATACACAGTTTTGTGCCATGTATAATTTAATTTGGGATTGCATAACATATTCTGGACAGGATTTATTATTGGCATAGTGATGCCCATCACACTAGCAGCAGAGTGCATCTTCCTCTGTGATATTACATGACTCGCCTGTATGATTTTGACCACACTTAAAACATCTAGGTTTTGATCTAAATTGAGCCTTAGTATGTCCGAAACGGCAGCAATGATAACATTGGATTGTAGGAAATATATACAGATCCACATTGAGTGCATTGTAACACATGAAAATTCGGTTTGGTAAAATTTGGCCATCATAGGTTAAAACTATAGTTTGGGATGGCTTCCAGGTAGGAGTACTATCTACAAAGGATTTATAATTTAGTCTCCTTTCAGAATTTCACCACAACCTATGGGAACAGAAATGTTACTTTTAACTTCCTCCAGAGACCACTCTGCAGGGACACCTCTAACTAAACCCCTTCGTGTAATGTTAAATGTTGGAATATATGCTTTTAAATTATTTTTTGACCAACTACTATGATTGATGAAATTATTTGCATCAGTAAATTTTGAGAATGAAACTTGCATTTTATTTCGCCCAATCTTTTTTACACTACCATTAATTATATTGTAAAAAGAGTTTTGTTTGAGAAATTTACCAAACGACATGGGGTGCATTGTGATTCCGTCTGATGATGAATCTTGCTCTCTTTGTACATGCACTACAAAAGGTGAAGCATCGGTTTTGTCATAAAACTTCCTACCTATAGGAATCAGTGCTGGGGAGGGTATGGACGCAGGAGAAATTTTGGAGTCATTGACACTAAGAGTATTTGATTCGTGTTGGTCTGACGCAGCGGTGGATTCATAACAACTACAATCTGTGACTTTAGGTTCTGACGTGGAATGTTTGCGCCTTTTTTTATTGCAGTGTTTGCAAACATGGAGCCGGCTGCGTTTTAATGTACGATTGGACATGGAACCATCTGTTTCCATACCAGATTCATTATTTGAAGTAATGGTAACAAAATTACTAGCCGGGGGGACGTTCATACAACTGTAAGATAATAGTTAAATTTTGACTTACCAAGGCAGCAGGGACAATAAATACAGAAATACACTAAATATATGTATACAATATTAATAGACAAACCTATCCGCTGATCACTATTTTAACCTTAATTAAGTAAATATTTTCAGAAGCCAAAAGAACGCGTCCGCCAAATTGGTAGTTTCCCGCGCTTTTTTCCAGTTTTTTTTTGTTATTAGGCTTGTATTATATACAATGACATTCTGCTAATACCTAATTACAATAGGCACGCGCCGCCCAGCCCCCCGCCCGGTGGCGTCTGAACCTTTATATGCGTCAAAGGGCCAAATTGCTCTACACATATATTAAATGCACAATGCATTTATGTATTTAAGGTACTAATTGGATAAGGATGAATGTTATATTGCAGAAAATAGCTTCATAAATAATCTTTTATTTCTCGTAAAAAGTATAGGATAAAAAATGGTTATTGTGGGTTATCCCTAAGAGATAGACATATACCATCGCGAACTTTTAGTACATTATTTTGATCTATCTCGTAGGGTTCAGCCAGCGTTTGCAATGTAAGCGCAGAAAAATGTGTTTATTTACGAGCTTACATTAAAAACCTCTAAAATTATCAGTGTTTCTCTACTATATTATGCATGTATTATACATATAAACCTTCCTCTAGAATCACTCCATCTATTAAAAAAAAACGCATCAAAATCCGTTGCATAGTTTTAAAGAACTAAGCATACATAGGGACATAGGGACAGACAGCGGGAAGCTCTATACTATGTAGTGATATATTTATACCATACTGCAGAATAATGATTGGCCGCTTAGTCGGAATTCTTCATTTTTTTCTTTAGTAAATTAATTATTAGTTTTCGATTGAATATAGTTCCACAATGTTGTTAAGTATGGTTTGATTGTCAAAATAAAAAGACTTTAAACAGCTCAATATTAATGTGAATTAAAATATTTCAAAATCAACAGAAAAAGTTTCAAATGTATAGTGATTAGCGCTCGAGGTACGATAATTGGCCCCCACGTCTATCAGTGATTGGCCCTCTTTTTTTTTAATTCTCTTGTAATTATCTTAATTTAAGATACGTAGGTATGCATAATGGCCTGTGCAGACGATGAACTTTTGTCCGCGGAGGATATAGGAGGATAAGTTCCTCAATCTTGAAAAACATGTCCACCAAGGACTTCTAAAATCCGGCTTAAAATCTGTCTGGTAACGGCGGTGGTTGTGGACTTGGTTTTAAATTTTGTTCGAGTGTGTGCGATGGACCGGGAGTGTCCGCACTGAGACCGCTCCGCACTGGGCCTATTTCACACAGGATCCATTCAAACTGGGCCCATTCGCACTGGGTCCATCCACACTAGGTCCATTCCGCACTGGGTTCATCCAAACTGTGCCCCTTTCGCACTGGGTAAGACTCGCAAGATGTATACCTCCATAGAAGCTCTCAACTTCCCTTAAAATAAGACTTCGACTACGGTTATCGGTCTTCAGCCGCGTCAAAGAAGGAGTTCATCATTAAGAGATATATCCGCGATATCTTCATCAAATTCAAATCATCAATAGGTTTTAAAACTGTAATAATCGGTCGAGGTATGTTAGGCTTTAGTTATATCCTCATACATAGACTATCACTTCTCTTTTTCCTCTAAATTATTCTCGTCTTATTTAGATAATATACTAAAATATTACCAGTATAAACCTAAAGTACAACCTTCGGCAATGTGATTAGAACTTTATGTGCTACCATTATAGGTAGGAGTTTTCCGAACAATTCTAATATTTTTTATTACAGTAGTAAAAGACTTATAGTCAAGCATATTATGAAGCTTACTTTTAACTTCCTATTCGAAGTCGGAATAAATTATGGGCGTCATAAGTTGAGATAAATTGACTTACTTTACATGTTACTTTTGTTTACTACACTACCACTTTAATTACCAGCAGATCATTCTAAGTGTCAGAAAAAGAATAATTATATAAACTATGAAGTATTCTTATTCGTTATGGACCTTGTAACTACTTATTTTAATGATTTCGTTGCATATTAAAATAGGTTTAATGAAACAATTTATTAAGGCTCTACGTCAAAATTCTGAAGAAATTTTTCCTTGAATTTTCAGATTAAAAATTAAAAGAAATACCAAAAATATCCATTTTTAAAACCAAATTAACATCTTTTTTGCATTCATAGACTTGGTTTTACCGTATTAAGTTAATAAAAGCGACATAATTAAGTAAATAAATATTTGTTTTCTTGATATGTATAAAATTCAAAGAAGAAAAACGAGCAATTTTCTATGAAATTAAAATTTCATTTTGATAGCTACAAAAGCAAACTTTAATTAATAAAATGTTTCTTTAATTCATAAATTAGGTATAACAAATCG